GGTCCATTTCAATGCAGATGGTGCCATACCACAGCTGCTGAAATGGAGACTTCAGCGCAAAAAACGTTGACATGTTGTTCTCAGGAGCAGCAAAATATGCTCACATGTGGCTAAGGCCAAAGCTTTAGAGTAAGATTTATTTTGCGTGCGACGAGTCAGAAGTGCAGAACTGACCTTGATCTCCATCCACTATTGCGTCGTGTGCCATACATACCACCGAAACCTGCGGCATATGAATATGGAGTCATGACGCTTGCAGCTACAAGTACGGTGTTTTTATACAATCAAGCCGAGGAAAAGTGTCCTTGCAGTGTCTACGAATAGAGCATAAACAACGTTCGTGCTGCGCCGGGACATTCGTCTTTCTGAAATACCAACACCATCCATCCGGTGCAAGCCTCACGACGACCCGTAGTGCGTGTATCAGTGCACGAAATATAAAATTACTAACTGAATACGCTGCACGTTGTTGGATCCACTTCTAAAATGTTTCACCTGAACCAACAAAGCTGGAGTAACTAGATGGCAGCACTTCCCAAGCACAGTGTATTGCTCATCTGGTTTGTTCAGATTCGCAAACAACTTGCACGAGATTCGCGGGGCTGATGGTGTGAGTAGTGTGAGATAATGCGAAGCCCACTTACATCCACAGCGGACGCCTACAGCTCATAAAAGTGCACTCATAATCCGATGTAGCCGGGCTCAGGTACAGCAAAAGGGACGTCGTGGACTTTTTCACTTGAATTCAGCCAATTGCATCACGCAAGCGTACACCAGAACTTTACGCGTCAATTCTTTATAGTATTTAGATCCGGGTATGGTACAAAACATCGATAAATGACCAGTCTCAAAATTTAATTCTGATAGATACGACATCAAATCGATTAAGACCGATCTATTCGCATAGGGAAATCATTAGTATTGGGTCATCTAATATTAATGTCGCTCGTTAGACTGCAGCAACATGTCAAATAAGCAATGGGTTTATTGTCTACCGGAAAGCTTTGAAAAGTAACAAACGCGGATCAACGTTGAATGAATGTTTTTTGCAGATTGGTTGTGGACGAATAACGTTTCGAATGTGAAAAGGAGAAACATGCAATCGACTCTTAGGAACATTTGCTGGAAGCAAGCAACATCATCTTATATTCTGATTTTTTCGGCGTGAAAATGTCCAGTAAGACGTTTGCTGTCATACGAAATTATGATAAGCTTTTAATAAACTAATAATTGGGAGTATAATTATAATATCTAATAATTGAGAGTATAATTATGATATCAATAAATCATAGTTTGAATAGTTGTCAAAATCATCTCGTGTGCCTGTCGAGTAGTAACTCCGCATGTCCACAAACTCCATTCAATTCATATGCCCATGGTAAAACCACCACATGCCCTGCCTACTTACACTGTACCGCGCAATACAACGTAGGAAATCAAACATCGATACGAAGCAATGATTTCGACGTATATCGCCTCGTTGTTGGTCTTGTACCTATAAAATCTCGATGACATCGGTTGCATTATCAACGGTACCCTTGTCGGCACTACTACTGCCACTTGACACTGTTCCGTTGCTGGCACTTACCATCGGAACGCCCTCATCATCCGAATCCAAAAGTTCGATGTATTCACTGCTGCTGTCTGGCGTTGTCTGTGGACTTCGGTCATAAGCCGGTGTAAAATCAGAAGCGGAAGATGTAGCGATTGCGGCCCGGGAGTCAACAGCAGGTGCAGCTGTTTTAGCTATTTGTTGTTTTGAGCTCAGATTCGAGCTAGGCTCTGCTGCAATGAGTGACAAACCTTGCTCTTTAGCAATTTCATTCCGCAGCCACGTGTCATCGTGAAGTTCTACATCTCCAGGAAGCTTGCTCAGCTTTAGCCACTTAAGTGTTTCTGCTGGGCTCATCGCACTTACAATATCCGTCAGTTGTGAATTGACCTCGATCGCCAAGGAAGCACCACACTCCTCAGCCTTCCGCTTAAGATCTTGACATCCCTTTATGCCTCGCCGAAGGATAAGTAGATGCCTGTCTCTAAGTCTCATCGTTGCTCGCTCCTGCTTTCGCACCGCTGCCGCAATCTTATCTTGATTGCACTCAAACAGTAGTCGGTTCTCCTCCGCCCTTTGATGATGAAAAAGCTGAGCCCGTTGTTCCTCCGTAATCTTGTTTCCTGCCTTTTGCTGATCAAACAGAACCTGCATGTGAGGAGGCAAAATGCGACCACCAGTCTGAGCGCTTACACTCGGAGCAGCACCAATAGCAGTTGGTGCGAATGGAAGGGACAACGTGGCTGCAGCAGATAAAGGCGCTGTTGTAGACAATTGATTCCCTTGTGCAATAGTCGGGACCCAAGAAATACGTCCCATAAACGAATGCGCAACGACAGGAATTTGCGACAGAGGGACTGCACCAACAGTTGCCATAGAGTGCTTGCAATAAATGCATTCAATTATTGAGGGCACGGGAACGTTAGTAATGGATGTCGGGTAAATTTCGTTTGGTGCTCGACAAGAGTCACAATTCTTCATCAGCACACCCTCACGGCTGATGAGGTGAGTTCCTCCACTACGCAGTGTCCGCACCGCTTTGTAGTAAGTATAGCTCTCCAAAATTTCCTTCTGCTCAGCTGGTGTACACTGTTGGTCCAAATCTTCTTCAAACATCGTTTCTTGCTCAAAGCAATCAATAATACATCTCTTGTTAGCCAACACTCCAGCAGCACTAAATTCTCCATTTTCATTGGTGCAACCGGCATTCGTAGCTCTGTCCCTCATTTCTGTCAAAATATTCATAAGCACAGAATCTTCATGGGGTATTGCTTGAATAGTCGCTTCTTCATCGTCTGCTGCCTTGCCTTGCGCATACAACAAAGAATCTTCAAAGTCCTCAATGCTAAAATACTTTTTGCAGCTCAGATGACATGAACTTTCTCTCGGTCGTCTTCTCATCCACTATACGTTTAGCAACGCCTTCTTTACGAATTTGCAAGTCGTATACCTTCTTTTCCATCGTCCCCACCGTCACAAACCGATATACAAACACGGGTTTTGTCTGACCGAAACGGTATGATCGGCACATAGACTGGGCATCGTTGCATGGGTTCCAGCACACATCAAAAATGATAACTCGGTTGCCAGCGCAAAGGTTGATTCCTTCGCCGCCTGCTTTCGTCGATATCATTATTAGATCAACGTCCTCTGCAAGGTCGTTAAACTGAGCGATTTGACGAAATCTGTCTGACTGGGTCGTACTTCCGTCAATACGCAAAAAACTAAAGCGTTTTGCGTGGCGGCGTTGATGCCTGTTGTGCTTAGAAATTGCTGCTCCAATAGAATCCAGTGTAGGAATGCTCTGCGAAAATATGATCACACGGTCGCCGACGCTCTGACACACTGACAAAAGTTCCATAAGAATCATCATCTTGCCACTCGATTCAAGCTGATTCGGGACATAATCTTCCATAAAATGCCGAGCAAATTTCAAACGATGACATCTCGCAGCAGGTGTCCGCTTGGGCTTTGGCACAGCCGTGCTACCCAACTTTACCGTAATAGGAAGCGCGGACTCACCGTCTTCAACTTCATTGGCATTAATGTCGGCGTCGATGTCGCGCAGACCGTGCGACTTCGCTAGTAAAAAAGTTTCAGATGTACTGGACCTGGTAGCAACGTGACTCGGGCCACTATTGTATGGATCAAAATCGTTTCCGCCATCTTCAATCCCAAAAATGTCCAAGACGCCATGACGTTTTGATTTCCGACAAGCTCCGTTATGCTCCTCTTTCTCAAGCTTCTTGTACGTTTCACATATGACGTCGGGGTGGTTCGAGATAGCTAGTGCAATATGGTAGCCACCAAGGACGTCCACCTGATCTGAGTCACCACGAGTTGGAACACCATGTTTTAGAAATTCACGGTACAACTGTGCTTGTGCGTCAGTTAATTTGCACATCAACACATATTCCTTCTTAGGTGGTAGCTGTTTAAAAAGATATTGTTGATCACGACGCAGTACCAAAGGCCTCAGCTCGCGCGTTAAAACAAAGGCGCGGTGCCGGGCCAGACGCAAATCAGCTTCGGAGCTATCAATGCATTGTCCGTTTGTGATTGGGGCTACATATCGGTTTTTAAATTCATCCAAGGAACCAAGATAGTCCGGTCGAGCAAAATTTACCATTGTCCAGTATTCCTCCAAGTGATTCTGGAGTGGGTATCCCGTCAAAATAATGCGTCGCGTTGTTTTAACGTGAGCCAAGGCTTTCACCATTTTTGACTTGTGATTACGAACACGATGGCCTTCATCCAAAACAATAAGATCGGGTCCCGGATTGCTTAAACATGAGTATACCTGTTTTATCAAATGTGCGTACTTCTGGTTTCCCGCGGCAATCTTTTCCTCACCGCTAGACTGCAATACCAAAAGGCGATAGAGCTCGTAGCCCATGATTAAAATTCCACCGCGCTTATACCATTTTTTGACAACAAACACGCGATCACTCATTTTCTTTTCTCGGCTTGACTCCAGCGTAAATAGTCCTAGGCGTCGGGCTTCCTTTTTGCCGAGCCACTTGACGATCTCAGCTTCCCAATTTCGGACACAAATTGTCGGGGCAAGGATGAGCACGTGCTTATGTCTCTGCTTCAATTGACCATTCTCATCCAACGTATTCTTCGACAAAAACGCCTGTGCCGTTGTTATTACTTGCAATGTCTTACCCAGACCCATAAAATCTGCCAGCACACACCCAAAACCAACCGGTTCCACTGCAACATGAGCCCACAAAAATCTCACACCGTCAACCTGGTGAGGCTTGAGTTTATCGACAAGATCATTGTACACATAAATTGGAGCATTTTCGTGCCCTTCTTCACCTGTTGGCATTTCACCTGCTGTAGGATTTAGACATAACTTTTTCTTTTCCTTCTTATCCGGCACCAAAAGTTGATCGTCTGACAAGGCTGAAAATTTTCCCAAAATTGCATCAATTCGCTGCGCTCGCTTTGCTTCTGCCTCACGAGCTTTTCGTGTACCTTCATCCAAATCTGCTTCTTTCATCACATTTGCAATCTTTCGACGGCGATTCCAGCGCTCGCTACGTCCCGACTTGGCCTTACGTTTCTTTGCTATCTTTCTGGCTTCGTGGCTTGACATTTGGCTTGATCGAAGTGTGCTTCTAATTTGATAAACAATGCAGTCACTAGCATCCACTTCCTGGTCAAAATCCTTGCTCTCAATGTCGTCGCTTTCTTCCATTTCGTCGTCTTCTTCTTCACCATCAACTACAATCGAATCCTGATCGCTTTCTTCTTCGTCTAAGCCACTTACAGCAATACCTTCTGCCACCATGATCACGTTCTTGTCGTTAGTTAACATCATGAAGCTCTCAATAGTGCGGAATGGAGTGCGCGATTTACTTTTCGGGGGACACGTGACAATCACTCTGCAAAGTATACTTAAAACAAGTCACACGTGCATTTGCAAGGAAAACGCTGTACTTTAGCCGCCATTTTTTTCAGCCAATGAAATACAAATATTGTGCGCCCAGGCTGTTTCAATGATTCATACAAATACCTTGAAATCAATGTAACTTGCTTGGCTTTATTTAACGCATTCTACTACTGCATTGCGATCAAAGACTTGCTCTAAGTCACGCTCTTGTCACAGTTTGTATACACTGCTGGAGCTACAACGGTCGCACTCTTGAGTATATATCTGTCTTCGCTGTCTTTGTTGCTGATGTCTCTAGCGTCTAAGCCGATCTGTAGGTGAGAAATATCGTTCGTTTTGGACAAGCTCATTCATGACTGTCACATCTTTTCTGCTTATTGTCCATGTAGTGCCGTCAACGTTTTGTGTCATCGGTACCACATGATCCCTGCAAGTTCTTCTTTGGACTGCAGCACTCAGTGCTATAAGCTTGATTGCTGCCAACAGATGCTCTTTCGCTCCTTAATGAGCATGATCTGGTGTATAATGGACTTGCTACTCTTAACGCTTCTGTAATTCTTGTGCGTTCGGGTCCTGTGCGACTGGCAATTCCATAGACAGCAGAAAAACCTTCTGACCAGTACAGCATATTACTAACACTCGCGTTAGTAATATGCTGTACTTGTTTTTGTGTCATTAGTATGTATCTGCTGTTGGAAAACAAGATATCTTTGTAGCAGTTATCATCGTATCATCTTATTAACATTTTCTAGACTGCTGACCAACGGTCTGGCCTCCGTGCTCAATCAGCGTCCTATCGATGAGTGTTTCATTTCCACTTAGATTCACCCCACTAAAGTTGCGCCCAAATCAAGACTTCGTTCTCATGTGCTTTTTTTTTGCTCGGCTACTAACTCGTCCGCAGATACAAGGTACATATGTATGTATACACATAGCTTGAAATGTTTGCGAGTATGCCGACGATTGCTTACGCAGGTTGAGTTTCTAGTGAAGCTATGATGCTCATTGCATAGATTACGTTTTCATTCATTATAATGACGCATCAACTAAGACCGACGATCCGCTCGTGATGAAGACATTTGTCCATGTCGTTTTTTATCGAAATGTTTTGTATCTGTAGGAAATCGAAGCACTAATACATTGAAGAGCTCTGGAAAAGCGGATATGATATGACTCCAGCGGCCGATCGAGTAGAAACATTTAGTTGCAGCATTTATATCATATGTAACAAACTGCGTAAGATCTCTCCTTATAAGCACGAAGATATCATTACATAGAAATGGTATACTTGCCTGTAAGGTGTTTGTGCAAAATGGCTTCATCAGGGGTACGACAAAAGACTTGAGATCAGTCTGCTAACATGTAAAATGCACCAACTAGACATTTATTACCTATTTAACGTGTTAGGCGCGTAGGAGTACTCACCATTGTCACAACTGTTTTTTGCGAGATGCGATGGTACTATTATTGTCAGGGTTTGTAGGGGCAATGAGCGATTTCTATCAAGTAATGAACATTGCGATGTATATATGCGCGCAGGGCAAAGAGCTGCTATTATTACTAAAGCACATCTTTTGGCGCACCAATGAAGACCATTGGACTGAATATATGACGTTGAAAATACGCAGCTAACTTGACACTACTAAGCTTGTCAGACTTCTTTAGCCAAATCATAAAGACCTGTTCGCGTATTGCTTTGTCATGATACTCGATCTACTGCTTCAGCGTTGGACACAGCAAAAAGCATCGAGAGACGATGAATCAACTGTGGCAACCCATGTGAACATCCCTATTATTTGCTGTTTTGTGCTGCGCAAAAGTTGACATTATTGACGTCGTCAGTGTAGGTGAGAGGAGCTAGCGATTGAAAGTTATCATACAACCACTTGTCAGGAAAGTTGCCGGATAGACTAGGCAATATGAAGATATCCTCACATCGCTCTGTTCGGCGTTAATAATTCGTACACGGCTCCAATCCATTTGTTGGTATACGTGGCGATGCTCGCATCACTGATGATGCAGACGTGGTCCAAACCGCCAGAGACCTTGTTTTGATCAGAACACAAACATATGAGATTCTGAAACATGCAGAGTTGGCCTGGAAGTCACAACTTTCGACTTGCGCTCTAGCAGGTTTTTACAAACGCATCGACTTTGTTTCGAACTGCACGAGTTTTCGCTATTGTTTTGCTGTGTCCATAACATACTTGACCAGCTGCAGGTTCTAGCCCTTGAACTTTGCTTGTCAGCGCCAAAGACTTCATGCCATTGATAACAGCATATATCTGACCTAAGTGAAGTCAAGTGAGGGCCTGATTTTGAGTTGTCAACCCGTGAAAGAGGTATAGCTTTTCCATGGGTGCGGTGAAGAAAGCATTGTCGCCCGCGAAATCGCAAAGCAGATAAATCTTCTTGCCCTTGCACGCGTAGTATATGTCCTGAGCTAGATTCACATGTCGTTGTCATTGACGCCTTCATGGACGAGTACCGACTCACTGCTGTTCAGGTTGTTGTGTTATATAAGGATCTACACCTTGTCGTGAGTGATGTCATCTTTCACATATATAACGCAAATCCGCAACGGCTCACCAAAACGCATTGCTGGTCTTGTATCGAATGACGGTTGCCACATGTGTATGATGCCATATCCAGGGCGCGGTTTCCTCAAGTATCAGTGGCCTACATGTCAATTGAGTTTCAATCGCTTTCTGTTAGCCAATATATGCACGCAAAGATCTTCTGTAAAGGTAAAAATTGCACTTTAACTCAAAATGCTGTAGGTATTCGTAAGAAAAACACATCGTTACGTGTACGAATATACGCTATGGGTATGAAGATATTGTATGCTTATCTAATGGTATGATTATGAATGTTGTGGATAGAGTTTCCAACGTACATGTGTGCGCGTGACCGTTTAGTGCTGTATCAAGAGCCAGTGTTTAATCTCCACGCAGCATCAGTTTCATCATCGTCATCTACCGACTCTAGTTCAACAAGAGCTTGTCACTTGCAGCGATTTTTACCACCTGTGAGTGTATTTCGAGCTACAGAATGCAAGTTTAATCAGGACTTTACGCAATTGATTGTTAAGGTAACGTCGGCTTTTGCTGGGCTGGGTGGCTGGATCAATGCGTCGTTCCATAAGACACTGATTGAAGTAGAAGACCCGAGAGAGACTGGGTGTTTTCGTCATGGACCGGTCTATATGCAGAATGTGGCAGGAGGAGGAGGCAAATGGGCCGGCGAATTGCCCGTCCGCGCAATTCCTAGTCTTCAAGCACCACGGTTATACAATGTTGAGAGTTTCCGAGTCGTCCGTGCCATTGAGCGCAAGTTGCTAAAAGACCGTGTGTGGATACGTATTCAGCCATTGAAGAAGCCAGAAGAGTTGCAGTATAGCAGTGAGACGAGTGGCAAAGAAGAAGAAGAAGCTGGAGCAGAATGTGAAAATCAGGAGAGGAACAATCGGACGAACGGGACTTGTGTCGCAGACGCATGGATTATTGAGCGTAATGCAAACACAGCTCAGAGAGTGGTGGTGCCATGGGGAAGCGACCGTATCAGTGATGTGCCAGCAAATGATGACGCTGAACGGTTCTACCGCACAGTGTACAGTCGTCGTCCACTGCCTTTGCGCCGCACCGCAGACCTGCAAGCTGAGATTGTTGGTCATCTTGACCCAGGCTTTGTGTTCTCGTCCACTCAGCGCATTCTCAACGATCGAGGAAACATTTGGATTCGAGTGGCACTGCCTTCAGAAAAGTCAGCTTGTGTTAGTAGTAGTGCTGGAGACGACACTGGCAAGGACAAGAACACAAAGAGCAGTTCTATCGGCAATGCGGAAGAATCCAAGGAGGAGGAAGATGAGTTTGGATATCTTGAATTCATTTGTCTGGTATAGCTATGCGATTGAATTGAGCGCCAGGACTAACGCATGCACATGTAGTTTCGAAGTCCTCGCTTTATCTCAACTTGTGCAACGGATAATGCTCATGTCGCCGTCAACTAGCGCTCACTTTCTCGTCGCCTAAACCACTCGACAAATCTTGCAATCAGATTGGCTTGTGCCTCGCGGTCTTTCTTGAATTCCTTTTTTCAAACTCTAGATTTTGTTGTCTCCGCCTCGTAAGTTACAGCTTTACTTGATGTTCAAGACCACGTTGCTTCGTTTTCTCGTCTTGCTCTCGTAGTCTCATCTTTCATAACTTTTTCTAGCTCCATGACGCCAATATTTATAGGTCGTGCTGCAAAGGTATGTTGCATTCTCAGCAACTCTGTCATAGCTTGTTGCACCGTTCTAACGTTTCCATTAATTTATACTTTTTAGTTATGAATTCTCAAATCGATTCTAGATTTATGATGCAAAATTCTAAATCCATAGTATGTGGAAATGGAAAAAGTCTAGATCTTTACAATTTACAAAAAATGAAGTATGCAGTATTAGTGACGGGAGCTTCCAGGGGTTTTGGTCGTTGTCTTACATTAGACTTTGTGCGACTATTAATAGAAGAAGAGATTGATCTGGTACGTAGAGGGATATATTAAAGATGTCGTAACATTGACATGACGTTAAACTTATACTGTATAGCATCTATGGGCACGAAGTGAGCATGATCTGAAGGAGACAGAACGCTTAGTATGGACTGAATGGAAGAAAGTAGCTGCATCGGGCAAATTGAGATGTTTTCTCGAGTCAGTAGACTTGAGTAACCCTACCAGTTACACTACAAACGTGGATCAAATCATGCTAGAACTGACAGCGCAGAACTATGATCAAGTGATTGTCGTTCACAATGCAGGATCATTAGGACAACTTGGACTTGCGCAAGAGTGTATATCCTCTCCAACGGAGCTGGCAAAATACTGGGAGCTTAATGTGACGTCGGTACTATGGCTCAACAAACGCTTTTTGGATGTCTTTGGAGCCTCCAGGGACGAACTGCAGGCACTGCATAATGCTGCTTTCAGAAAACAGACGCAGTTGGTGATTGTCAACATTACGTCATTGTGTGGTGTCAAGCCTTTTAAGACGCATATGATGTACTGTACTGGCAAAGCAGCTCGTGAGATGCACCACCAAGTTGTTGCTGCCGAGCAGGCGGCGTTCGGTAAAGTGCGTGTACTGCAGTACTCGCCCGGACCAATGGATACGGACATGCAAAAGAAAATTCGAGAGTCATCACTTGTTGATTCTGAGCTTCGGCAACAGTATGCAGACATGAAGGCCCAAAGGACGCTCATTTTACCACCCAAGTCATCAGAGTGCTGCGCAAAACTTGCCATCAGCAAGGAATTTGCAACTGGAGCCCATGTTGATTACTACGATCTGACCACTTCCAGTAAGCAGGTCTAGTGGTTTACGGAAGGTGTGTTGCAGTAAGTCAACTTCATACAAACTTTATCACCACCTCGTGTCCGATCTTTGCAAAACCTAGTTCTTACAAAAAGAGCTACCACGAAAAGGACTGATTCTTGCTTTCAAGTGCATACAAGATTCATATGAAGAAAGCAGACAAGATGATAGCTTTTTTTCTACGATTCATTATTTTGAAAAACGATATTGCAAATTTTTGTTTTTGATATGAATTGAGTGCTATGGAATATAAAATCCGATCTTTATGTGAACCGAAAGGAAGAAAAAGCGCTATTTTCGACATAAGGTTTCCGTATCTGGTTATTTATTTATAACTTACTAAGTAAATGTAAGAGAAGACCTTGTGTAGAACATGAAATAGCTCTAATTGAAAGAGCACTCTATTATAAATCACGATTTAGGTCATCCATATTAAGACACCACGAATCGCTGACATATTACCTCATCTTGAAAAGCTTCTCCTACGTGCTTGTCCTAAGACATTGTAATATCCGTCTTGGATCAAACCCAGCACGCGACAACATTTGATTTTTTTGATCTCTCTTCTCTTCTCGAGCGAAGGAACTTCATGTCATTGGACATTCATTGACCATTGAAATAGCAGTAGATAGTTTATAGTTCCATATCACTATCACGGTTGGAAACACTAGATCAATCTCCATCTGATTTTGGTAGTGTAGCCACGGCAACATTCCAAGCCGATAATTTCTTTGCCTTCAAGTAGCATGTTAAGCAAAACTCGAGATTCTTTTTGCTTGTTGAGTCAATGTGCAAGTGCTTTTTCACAGTGCACTTTCGGCAGACTTTACGTCGACACAAGAAACACTTTGTGCTAGTCTCAAGTAGCTTCTTGAACCCTTTAATCGGTAACTTACGGCAGCAGGCGCATCCTTCGTATTTCTCATTGTCTTTATGGTGATTCTGGTAATAAGAATTCGCATGCACACACCACGCAAGTTTCTTCAGATATGACTCCTCCACGACTTGTGCAGTGTCGAGCAAATTGTAACAAAAGAATTGTGTCGATGCTCCAATGCTTGAGTGGCCACCAGCATTGCAATATCCTCGAAAATAAACCTCCACCTCGCCTTGATTATTGTATGGACGCACAATACGACAGCTTGACATGCGGAGACGTGCCAGTCCTTGTTTGCGAAACTCTGGAACTTCTTCAATTTCCACGGAATGATTCAAAAAATAGCACACTTGTTCTCCAGTTGAGTCCAATGTCATACCTGTGGACTCAAGCAGCACGACATCCCTTGGCTTCGACACTACCGTTCCAGCTTTACTTGAAGAGTAGGAGCTCCATTTAATACCTAAGAACCGAAACGGGTCTTGCGGTGTCGGGCCACGAATTCGCGCCAAGACGCGAATGTCTTTCACGTTCACGTCCTTGCTAGCCGCACCACGCATGATGCTGCGGTCCTCTGTATCTGCTAAAAAGCCGAGTGCTGCATCGTCCACTGTGCCGGAAATCACGCCACCACCGAATATTATTGGGAAATTAGGGGGGCGTGACTTGCCAAGTACACTTTGCTCCGGCGACTCCGAGTCGATGCGACTTTCGTCATGATAGCCCGAGCTTTCGAGCGACGACACGTCGTCTTGAGACGAATTGCACGACAGGTGCGTATAACTACGTCCCATCAAGTCGCTGAAGGAGCTATCAGCTGAATACAATTTGGGGCGATGCACGAACGACGACTCTACCGCTTCTTCCGTTTCCAGTCGGCCACGTCGTGCATGTCGCTGATTCCGCGCCCGTGACCGATACGCTGTCATGCTTCCTTTTTCCATTACGTTTTTCCATCGATCCAGGTCGACGGACCGTCCACCAGCGATAAAGTCCTCACTGGCTTGTAGCGTTTCAGCAACAAGCTGGTCACCCATCGCCTCAAATTGTTCCATGTCAGTTCTAGTGAGCACTAACTCCCGAGGCGGAAAGAGGTGGCCTGCATCCCACGTTTCTGCGAATCGCATTTGCTCCAACAACTTGAGTCAAGTAGGTGCTCAAGTGAGAGTGCTTCGTAAAATGACTTGAGTGTTAGTTAATCCCGCGATCGACCACAGACAGCTGGGAAAGGCTAGTTCCATCCTGTGCTAACGTCATGCAAAAGCTGAAGAGAGCGCACAACTGTGTAATAGCGTGAACACGGGCAAGTAGGAGGAGCCTTGAATGGGATCGGATGATAGCTGCACTGCGTCGCGCGGTATGAATTGAGCTCGGAGAATAAGAGATGGAAGTAGAAAATGGTTGCCCGTGACTGGGACATTCAAGTTTATAGTGGAGAAACGAGACGACAGCTTGAAGGATATGTAGACCAACAGCGACATGCTATCGTGGGGTCTGCAAAGAATCAACGGCTGCAGCATGAAAATACGTCGCAACGACCAAGTGGAAGATTCATACCGATCCCAAACATGGGGGCCAAGGGTAGTTATTATAGCACCTGGATGACCCACCATGTGTGCTGACTGCTGTGCGCTTTGTCTCGGCTGTCAAGTCGAAAAACTATTGCCATATAGCATGGAAACAATCATAGTCGCAAGACGGCCCCGTCCATGAATGCCATTGCAGATCAATAAGATGAAACATATTTTTGTGACAACACTACGGATGGTGCAATGTTGACAACTGTGTTGAGTCAGATGGAATAACACCGAGAAACAGATACCGACCGGTCCTTAGAAGCCAAGGTTTACAGCGAGAATAATCGTATGGATAGCCGACTCACTCGATCGCTCTGGGACAAGTTGAGCTGGGTTCTTTATGAAATAGAAGCGAAGACGGAGGCGATCGCCAAGTTGCTGCCTGCGGATAGTATTTGGTGCCATTGAGATGGTGTCGAGCTTATCCTCTTTGCAAACCGCGTGGTCTATGAATTTTACTTGGTCACAGGTCGAGAATTTTGATGCCTTGGTACTTCTTCGTGGTGCGTTTGCTTTCAGTACCTTCTTCAAATTGCTTGTTCTAACAAGGTTTGAAAGTGCCGTGGGAACATGCTTGACGACTTGAATGCTATGCGTTGTAGACACACGAAGCTGCAGATTAAAGAATTTAACAAGCAGGAATTTATTGGAGGCACGTGTTTTTTAAAGATGGTCATTGGGATAGGCAAGAGGTGTATCGCACCCGTGTATAGATATGCAAGTGTACGAAAGCTCAATCGCCCTTCTTCTACAAGTCAGCTTGCATACATTAATCAACCTCGTTTTTCTTTGATGTGTCTTTCATTGCTCTCCCGTCAAATCGCCAGTCATGCCAAGTAATGTATATCTCTGTTGATTGAAGAGCTATAAAGATGAGACGATGATACTTCGTGTAAACATGCGCTAGTTTAGTTTGTTTAAATTTATGGGTAGCTGCATAAGCAATAGGCAAATCAATGCACGTTTCGCTTGCTACTATCTCATTACTTCTTTTGCTTGGTCTTAAGCTGCGCAATAGCGACGTCCCAAGCCGACATCTTTCGGGACTCAATCACACACGAGACGCAGAATGTGAATTGATGTTGGAAGTCTTCTTTGGCGTCCAAAACCAGCTTCTTTTCCACGCTGCACTTCTGGCAGATCATGTGCCGGCATATTGCACAACTGCCTCCTCTCACTATAAGGCTGCCGAGTCTTTTAATGCTTTTGCCGCACACACAACACTCCTTGTTCTGTTGGGGTAGATTGTCACTCGAACGGTAGCGAGATATCTGCCACGCAAGTTTTTTAAGATATGAGGCTTCGACAATGCCCACGACATCGACAACACCCTGTGCGAACACGCTCATTCCAAAAATTGCTGGCAAGTTACCGCCCATGTCAGCATATCCTCGAGCGTACACTTCGATCTGCGTATCGGAAGTCTGGCGCATGATGTAGCAGCATGACATATTTATACGAACGATGTCGAGCCGATCGGAGGGTAACGGGCATTCGTCCAGCTCGATCGAGTGAGCAAGAGTGTAATATACTCGCTCGCCATCCGAGTCCAACGCGATACCCGATGACTCCATAAACAAAATATCGCGTCGAGAGGCAAAGGCGACGAGTTCACGGGTGGCCCACTTGATGCCGACGTATCGAAATGGATCTTCTTCACTCGGTAGCTGGAATGACGCCAACACTTTACGAACATCAAAGCCGTCGTTTTTCACGTAAAAGTTGCGCTCAAGCCAAGCTTCATCTGTGTGTGCAAGTGATCCGAACGCCACGTCTTCCACAGATCCGTCAATCATGCCAATCGCTACAACTAACGGGACACTCGTTGGCTTAGCTTTCTCAAGCACGCTTTCTTCAGGAAAAAACGAGAAGGAACCACAATCACTCGATGAGCTCTGTGTAAGTGCAGACTGCTGCGAGTTACTGCTAGCAGAATTTTCTACGACTTGTATAGTTGCATCATCTTCTTCGTCAGGGCTGAACCCGTGCGGTCGGCCTGCTGCATTCGCTTCTCGTTGTTGCTGCTCTACCGTATTAATTGACAACAAGCGTGGTCGACTTGGTTGTTTTTCATTCATATCGTCATGTAGCTTGGAATCGGAACGCCGGGTGCGATACACATGAACCTTTTCACGGGACTTGACATGCTTCCATAGACAAAGGTCTACCTGTCGATTATTTGCAATAAAGTGTTCGTACGCACAAAGCGTCTCGGCAACCACGCGATCGGCCATCTCGGTTAATTCTTGTTGACGTTTTTTCGGAAGGTTGACTAGACCAGGCATGATTCTATCCGTGTCTTTAACCATCGTTACGACAAACAAAAGTAGTTGTGTTTACAAAGTAAGTCTTAAAGTGTTGTTGTTGATGTTAATGGATAGTGCAGTGCACAGGAGAAAGAGAAAGAGAGACACTGGTTCAAGGGAGGGTCACACTATACAAATCATGGATCAGAACCCGTTTTTTTCTCGCAAGAAGAGGCACGTAAAAACCTGGTGCTGGCCATCATTCCTTCTGCACCAGAGTATAATTGAACACGGCATCTCATATCTCTTTCTCTGATGGTTCCTGCTCGCCACATTGCGGTCGGTAGCTATCAATTCCAAGTCTACCGTAACTGAGCTTTTGAGGTCAAGACCGTGTCCAAAGTGACGAAACTCTCGTATTTCACACATGCATGCAATCAAAAAAAACTCACCTTATTCTTCCTAACTCGTTCTTGAAACGAGTCAAGGCATCACACGATGGTGTTGCTGTTGCGACTCATTGCCAATCCCAGCAGGGATCACTTGAAAACATCCGTTAATTTTTAAATAAAGCAGAATCCGGCATTTCGCAGCAACCTAACGATGAAAGGCAACAAGAAAAGCTCGAAATCAATTCGGAATCACATCACGGCAAAGGTTTTTCATAAGGTGGTTTGAACAATGGGAATCCTCTAGCTCATTTTGCTAAGATCAACGTGTCAGTGGTGATATTTTCTCAAAGAGTAAACTTGATTCAGCGTTATTGCAACAAGTAAATGTCGTTACACATTAGGATATCGTCTGGTTTTGGCACATGTGGTTTGATTGTGAAAGCAGACGACGTTGAAAAATCTACGAACGCGTTCTCGTGCGAAGAAACACGGGTGCTTGAGCGAAAAGCCCAGGAATAACCTTATTTGCGACACTAAAGCGAGCGTGTTCTTTGGTACAAATGCAAATAATAGAAATTAGAGGATATTTGAGCTCATCGGATAACTACGACACGAGATTCCAAGCGGCAGTGTGAAAGGAACTGGAAGGCCGCAATGTGAACTCGTTCCAATGGCGAGCTACGTGGTGCATTTGGTACTGAATGAAAGTTGGGTGATGATCTATGGAGATGGAGGTGTAAGTCTGCTGTTTTAAATTGGTCAAGTTTGTCCATGAGCACCGAGCGGGCAGCGTCCGTATCTCGATGCTTTTGCAGCGTAAGAAGCTGGGACGGAATATACGCGGTTGCATAGTCCAATCCAGGTCAACAAGAATCTTGTATTGGACATTGAGCAGCTGAAATGTAGTCATGCTCAAGTTGCCAAGTATGTTGATAACGTTGCTGACGAGCATCACGTGCTTTGGAGGTTCTCTACGCATGCAATGGCGGCATGTGTGTCAATTTGAAAGAGCTGGCAGGTTGGCACGTTGGTCTCAGTGAGACTGCCGTGTGATAAACTGAGGGAGTTGAAAGGCCTCTTGTACCAGCAGTATGCTGGAGATTCATTCACTGTATCAAGCCAACGTGTATAATGCTAGGACGAAAGGTCGGTAGTCGTGTTGTCGACCGTGCCGGGGCTTCGTACATTGTATCAGCATCAGTGTTTGACTCTTGACATCAGCATTTGACTGTTGACATCAGTACGTGGCTGTTCAGGAGATCTGCTAACACCGCACTTTAGCGCACGACGTCGTACCTGAGTGAATTTTGTTGTTGATATGAGCAATAGGATAAACCCGTCATCGCCAAGGCGAGTGTGTCGTCAGTCTATGTCATTTCTTCGACGAGTTAAACTTGAAGCAAAGTAATGGATCTATTGCTTCCTGCATGAAGACTGCAGTGACAACTCCGATACCGTGCTCATCGATTTCTTTACAATTCGCAAGGATTACTATCGTTGCTATCCCCAGCTGTACATCCTTGTCACCTCTTTAACTTTCGTCCAAGTTGACGTGTTCAGGCGTTTGCGTCACGATTACATACGCCTGTAATATGCATTGGTCTTTCTTACTGACATCGGAAATGGTATGTGATTGCAAAGTGGTAAACGATAGGATACGTACGATAAGGATGCAAGTCTCACCTGATGCCACCTCTAGGACATCGACTTTAACATGCAGGTGTTACAGTTTTGAATCCATTCGGCGAAGCTGAGATGCAAGAAAGCATGACAATATCCGCGTTATCGTAGTGACTGAAGTAAAGGTTGACCAGTGGCTTGCAATTCAAGGCTCTTCGATGATCGAAAAGCATTGCGACAATGTGGCCAAAACGACTTTGCTACGAAGAAAGTTGCAACTCGAATGGGACAGGTTTTTGCTGAAGATTGCAGAACAGTCTTGAATGCGAGGTTGATATTTGTATGGTCCTACGACTCAGTGAAGAAAGCTCCACAACGCTCTGTGCTGAGTAGGTAGAGTATTTGATTGGAAAAGGGTTCGTATGACTTGTTGCTTTCGGCAACAAAGATAGCGATCTATTGCGACTTGTTTGTCGTCACAAAACGTGATGGCAAGGCGGACATGATGCAGGAGCTGGAGCATGTAGAGCTGAAGACGTGCTGAGGATCTAGGAAAAAAATGACGACATTTTGGTCTTCAACAAGGCTGCAAATGTTTTGACTGGACTACTGTGGAATGAGGAGGTCTCGTTTGTGGATGAAGCTGGGTGAGAATGCTAGACTGCAGCGTTTATGTTGTGTACTAAGGATTCGATTTGAGTCTGAAGATTTGACTTAGTTGGTCGCTAAGCTAAACGGTCAAGAGCCTCAATGCATATACAGAAGAATAAGAGCAAGAAGGTTGGTTCATCACCGATCGTAGCTATTGTCTTAACTAAAGTAGCTTCACAGCCAGCAGATTGATGTGGTAGCTGTGCTTGCTAAGGAGATGACGATGCTAGCGAGGTAGATGTTTGCAGGTACTGGAGTACTGTAGTAAATAATTAGTTGATCTTGGTGCTCGACCATTTATACTGAAGCTATAAGCGCTGAGGATACAGAAGTCTACAGCTGAGAGCTGCAAGGGTTTTGCATATGACTGTATGAGTATCTTGGCGTTCGTTAATGTCTTCAAAACTTAACGAACGCCAACAAGTCTCAACATGTCTTCAAATCACGTCTTGGTAAAGGACTCTTTCTTTCTTTATTTATCTTCTTCCAATATTCACGTGCTTTGCGTATATGATGGACTCATTCTTTCATTAATTATCAACTTGCAAGCCAATCTTCACTTGAAACACAAGACTCTAGGTAGACGCTCCAAGCAAGCTAACGTCTTCTGGCATGTAAAATAGCGATCGTGCAAGCTCTAATGAATCAAATAGAGTTGATGCCCATGGACTACCCTATTTCTTTTACCTTTTTTCTAATTTAAAAACTATTTGCTGAAATAAATTAGTTTTTTATTTCGACAGAAGATTTTGGCATTCGAATCGACTTAAAAAACGTTTTAACACTTTTACTCGAATGCATTAAAAAACAATGCTACAACGTTTTGGCCGAAAACGGACGGGGTGTTACATGAATAACTTGAACGATGTATACATTTTGTTACATTCTCATTTGACATCCAGTAAAAGCACTGAACGGTGCAGAAGCATCGACCTCTCTCTTTCCCGTGCATACGATAATAACAAAATAGGGTCAAGCTTCATCAATCTCTCGATCCAGTGATTACGTCCACTACCACGAATTGTCGTCATCTGCCTGAGGCTCGACGAGCCCGACATCGCGATCGAATGCAGCGCCAGCGTCTTGCAGAAAAGAAAAGTGTCGAAGAGAAGCGAATTGAAGTCAAGAGACTTACGTGCGAGCTTGAACAAGCGATTGAAAGACTTATGAATGAGCTGGAGTGTAGAAAAATACGAAAAGTCGGGCAAGGAGTTGATCTACAAAGCGTTAAAGACGAAGAAGAAGAAGGCTATCAAGTAGAGAAAGACGATATGATTCTAGGTTGTAAGCTCTGGGAAGGTGACGGAACTACTGCTATACTGTTGAAGCAGCGTTATTTGAGTCTTGTATTGCAACAAGGCGCAATGACTGAAGTAAATCGACGACTGAGTGAGAGATTTGAGAAATGGAAGAAATTCATGAAACTTCTGGGGATCGAACATGAACGACTGGTGGAAGATACGATTGAGTCCGATAACCGGTGGGTGCATGAAGGAGAAGAAGGACACTGGGTGGTTTTCTCCCAGGAAGAGCCTGTCATATTTTATCAGCCAATTGCGAGGCATACGTGCCACGAACTGGCTTTTCGAGCTTATCAGCGTATGCAAGAAGTAAAACATGGACCCGGGGCCAGGACACTCTATAACGAAGCTTTTGGCTGGAAAGTGTGTTTCTCGATGCATGAGGTAGATGAAACGAATGTGCATAAGACCCGGATGCAGCATCGATCAACGAAGAGAATTAGTGCCGTCGACGCCGGTGGAAAACATATTACAGGCGACACATTAGCAGCGATGACGTGGAAGATTATCAGCACACCGGAACTATACACGCAGATGTATCGCAGACCCATGACTTCGAAAATTTTACAGCAGGTGGATGCACATACACGAGTCTTGATGCGGACGTTTCCGGACGAAAACATTGTAATGCGCATGCGCTTTGTGTGCTTGGTCGTGCAGGTGCAAGATTGTGTGATTGATCAAACTTCTGGTATGATGGGCGTTAAAAGCAGTATTCGTCGCCGCGTAACGATCTTGACCTCAATCCTCGATCCGAGCAAGTGTGTTCCGTATGCTAGCACCCATATGATGACCTCAAAGGTTGAGTGGATGCGAGAAGGCATGAGTTACCTGTCGTTTACTGAAATAGATGATGATGACAGCGTCGAGATCGAGTATGGTGGCTTGATGAATGTAGGCAGTGAGACAGCCTCGTGCACAGGGTTGCCGTTCGTTGCAATGAATATAGGTGAAGCTCTTGTGCGTTGGGAGCAACTGGTCACATCTATGCGGATATTGTCGATGACCGGAGGAAATTAAGGATCGTCTAATGTAAACAAACGTCACGTTGAGCTTATAAACTCGACACTGTAGATTAATAAGCTGCTAGTATATATATTCACCGACGATATTCTAGACTTAAAACAACATGTGGGTTGATGTGACCGTGCCTAAGGTACAATGGGTCACATTGTCGCAGTGTTACTTAGGTTAAGTATTATGAATACAAATGTTCACATATTAAACAGGCTACAGAACCGGTTAAATAGTGACTAGCATTAAGGATAGGTCCTATATTTAGTACTAAAAGACAAACATTGAATAAATCATTTTTAAACATGCTCTGTATAGCATTCTGCTGCTAGAGCCTTAGTCCTTGTAAAAAGGAATGAGTATCTATGATACTGGTCTCATTAAGACGTAGTTGTTGCAATCAAGAGGCAGAAGCTTGTAAAGCTAGCCTTGAGAGGCTAGCAAAGTCTAAGATGTAAAGTGTTTATAGATGCGTTGTGCTCAGTAGGTGGCAGATTGAATACTAAATGTAATTTGGTCCATAGTTTGCAAGAATGCTTGCTACCTCTAAGCCACTCTTCTTTTATACGAGTTTCACTATCTAGAGCCACTGAATTACTCCGCCTTTCAACCTGTCCGTAATTGCTGACTGTCATCGTGTCCCCAAACATTAATTGTCTTCATGCCTGAAATCGTTAAATCACTTCATTTTGTCGTCATTAAAACTATTTAAGCTCGTAACCCTGTGCCGTCATTAACATGCGTTCCGCATGTGGAATAGCGTGACTTAGCAATAGAGCATTCCTCCTAGTGATCGCCCATGAGGGGTCTGTATGTTCTTTCCAACGGACGAGAAACTTCCGTTGTTGTTGCAGCAACGACGCAGAAGTGTCAGTGATGGATTGCGTATTCTACCAGAGTGGGAAGGCGCAAGGCAAGGCAACTTCCCCAGCAAACAGTTGGTCTTTCTTCACTTACCTCGTAGTTTCCGACCATCTTACCGCACGATCGAGACGATTCAAAGAACAAGTCGACCCAATCTCCCTTCAATTTTGCTTTCAAATCTCGCACCCAGTCTTCTTGCTCTTTCAAATTCCTGATTTGATCTGCCCGAAGTCGTTGTATTACGTCGTCTTGCAAGATCTCTTGAGAGGGCCATGACTGGATCTTATTCTAAAATTTTCCTTGCAACGGGAACGAGAAAAAAGCTTAAACTCGATCTCCTCACGCATCTGTCGTACCACAAACTTTGATTGCTCACAGATATAATCAATCGCCGTCTTCCAGGGGCCTCAACAAGTCAAAGGCAAGTAACATAATCTCATATTCGGCCTCATTTACTGTAATTGTAACGAGGCATTCGAGGCAGCCTTGACTATAGTCCATGTGGGAAGTATTTACCTCCCTGTTTCGCTCGGGCTGGTCCATAAAAACTCGTGGCATACAATTCTTCGTCGGGCTCCACTTTGGGTGTAGGTAGGTCAACCATTTGTCGTGCCTGTTTCTTGGTAGTAATTAAGGGTCAACAATGATCGCGCATACTTGTTGTTTGATAATGGCGCTGAGATATCCCTACCTGATCTAGCCTTTCTTGTACGGTAGGATGCCAAATCGACGAGAGTGAACGACAACAATGTGTTGGTATCGGGGAGTCCGTTTATACTACAAAGGGAGCATTTGCATCAAGGCTACCTGAATGGAAATGTGGTGTATATTTTGAGGCGCCAAGACGTAATCCTGGGCATGGACTTTATGGTAACAGCCGATATCCGGTTAGACTACATTCGCATGCAACCCTCACAGCCGTCAGGTCAATAATCATTCCGTCCAGCTGCGCTGAGATGTCTCGGTCGCAGTAATAACTTCATACCCTTAGCAAGTGTGATCTAGGTGGCAAATGTTTGCAGCAACCTTTGCGCAGCATGCTCCAAGGTTGGATTCTGAGACCACCAAGTTTCCACCGACCGACGCTAATTTTTCTGCGCGGTCCTTGTGAGGTAGTCGTCTGGACAATCAACCTTAATAATTCAATACATACAAAGCTACATGCGTGTTTGAAAAGCCAACTTGTCAAACGAATGATTTTTACCACTCTACAAACCCAATGTTTATGGTAGGTCGTTGAGCGCCAAAATAAGTGATTGGCAAGTTATTCAGAGACCTTTTGCGAAGCATGATATGCTCTAAAGCCGATAGGCTAACGCCTTCCCCTGATCTTAGAACCAAAAAATAAACCCGACTCCGCTAAGTCCTTGTTTTTACCATCGACTTGTGCGGACTGCAAGGATTTTCATCCTGCCTATTTGTTCCGAATAGCCATTTAAAATAAAGCGCATTCGTCCAATATCACCGCGGGCACTACAAACGTTTTTTACAATTGATGGGTATTGGTCATTCCTGACCTTCGACCACAACAGCGGGTACAGCCTCTTTATCTGTGCCACCAACAAGATTTTTTGGGTTTATGCTTGTACTAAAGTAAGATGTGCACTTATTGCACAGAAGGTAGAAGTAGAAAATATATATATTAATATTAACTCTGTCAATCAACAAAATTATATGCGATTTTCTGCACTGCAACTGGACTAAGTCAAATTGTACATCCAATGCAGCGTCCTTGACTCTTTGTCCCACCCAACGACATTAAATCCTTACCCCATGCAGCTTTCATGCCGCTTTACCATCCTGTCCCATCTTTCAACTTGTCAACAAGTTTGGCCAATCAGGTGAGGTTGCGCTTTACGTGTGTCAGGTCTTACAGTATAGTTTCATATGTCATAGTCAGTAGCTTCTGACACCGCCGGGGTCCGATGTGCGAGCAAAAGGGAGACTTACGACCACCTATTTTGGGGTACGCTTGCTCGAATGAAGGGGAAGAAATCATCTACCCATAAGGCGCGACGGTGCAGGCTGAGGCGCTTGCAATGTAGGAAGCCCATGTGCGACTAGAATCAAACTGATCTCCTTGTACTGTATTTGACGTTAGGCAGCCGAACAATTCGCTGACACGCTTGATAGCTTTGCTACCGATTGCGATCGATGTTGGACGCTCCTCTGTACGGTCGCGGTCACAAGTTTGTGGATCAAGCGTGTATATCGTACCTTTCGCGGCAAAGGAGTCCAGTTCAAAACAAGGCAGTTGTAACGGGGTCGTATCGTTACACACCATATCAGGTACGATATGGCTCCCATTATCGTGCATAATTAGGTAGAGAATATTGAAACTATTACATAAAGCAGGAAAAGGAAAAGATACGAATAGCGTATCTTTTAGTGTCATTATTTGATTGGTTGAAAGTGAAGTTTAGCCCCATTTCACCCAATTAATATATGGCACGTATTTGGGTGGTTCACAGAAGGTTTAAGATTTTAGATCTAACCTTAAAAATAATAAACAGAGTTTAACTTAATCTTCAGTAAGCAAGTAAATTGCGTGCTTCTTATGCTTCCTCGTAAGACCTTTAGTGTAGGATACGTAACGGAGCTCTCGCCCCGTTACAGCAGTGGCCCTCTAGATTGAAATAGTTCAGCATATTGAAGCCTTTAACAGACGCGACCTCTGTCTGACCTACAACATGGCTAGGGGAACTACCTGAAGTTGGATAGCGTAACGTAATGGGCAATACACATGCTATCTCGGACCCGGACCCAAAAATTCCCCAAAGTCAATAGAGTGGGTCACCTTCAATTGGAGGGAAAGTGTGTTAACTAGACGTGACCACCGCAAGGCGAACGATGTCATATGAGGCACCACATTACGCGCGTGCATTGACATTGTCGCTTATTTGACAAGATAGCCCAAAAATTCCCACAAGGAATGCCCTGACCGAATTTCGTTCGGCGACGTCATTGTCATACCAGAATCTTGTACTAAATCACTGATACATGTTTTATCTTGCCGTTTTTTTCATTTGCGCTCCTTTCTCACTCAGAAAAATTTGGGTAAAGCTTTGTTGCGCAGTCGTTACTATGGCGAGGAGCGTCTGTATGAGTTGACGAAGGCGACTTAGTGGACGACCGAAAGGACATATCATGGCAAAAAGTCGAACGACTAGAAGCATGTCGATGCATACAAGCTGTAGCTCTTCCTAGCAAATTATGCAAACGGCAAGTGGCTGCCATCCATACTGTAGATATCAAGAAATTGAAGTAGAGCGAGGAAAATGCTTTCGTTGAAGCGCTAATCGAAAAAGATCGAGAGCTGCAGGCAAAGAAGATCCTTACGGATGCGCTGAACGGAGCCTCCACCACTACAAAAAATGGGGGCTTGTTAGTGGGACCTCGAGAAGTCTTGGACACATAAAGAATTCGGTCTTGTACGACTAGCAGGGTTACACTTTCGATTCTACATCCGGCTTTCTGGAATAGAGATGAAGATGTTGCGTTTTGGTATGAAGACAAGACATTATGCTTCCATCTTCTCTATAAGTCAGGTGTGCTCGCTGTCGCTACGGTGTGACACTTTTGTTATCCTACCAGCGTTAACTAAATATCGTGTTTTTCAGAAAGCTGCTTGGCAATTCAGAATGACTTGGTTCAGGGTCTTCTAACGCTTGTCTCTCCATCGCGTGACTAGATATTACAAGAAAGGTGACACGAGTCAAAGAGCAATAACTATGGACCTAAAGTGTGTCATAAGTACCGGGACTTAAAATGAGGAAGCTCGACGAGCTGCATCGCAATCTTTGCGAACCTATGTCATTGGGTCTCATGCCCGTACGGCTTGCAAGGATGCAGATAGTGTTGCTCTTCGTAAGCAGCTTCTTACTCCCCAGGAGTTTACGATGAAATCGTATCAGGAGCGACTGTTACGACAGTCTCGTTGGGTTCCCGTGCACCCACTAAACGGCATACCAGTGGTGCTTGCACCAGGTGAAACATCTGCGCAAGATGATCACCAGATCACCCGTTGTGTTGAACGAGCGTGTAAACTCTCAAGTCTTTCTAACTTGCGCTAAAGCGCTAAAGCGCAAGACATTTGGTTAGAACGTCGTCTACGTTTTAACTTCGCTAAGCTCAAAGCGAAA